ACTTTAGTTTAAATTAGTGAGAAAATTTTTTTCAGTATGCTTGAGGAAAACTTTGAATAAGATAGCAAAAACATAAAAACTAAACTATGTGCCTCTTTTATTAGTAAAGCAGCACCACATTTACATAGAAAAAGAATGTATCTCCGATAAAATGTTATAAATATCAAATATTTTAATTTATTTGAAAAGGAATCAAATATAAGCGTTTCATATTGTAGAAGAATTGTACAGAAATTTTGACAAAATTATAAATGATAAAAACAGCTTTTAATTTCCTTTCTTAATTGACAATCTCAAATGTTTGTAGCCTTGATGTATTTGTTATCCATGTGCATTTTGCACAAAGAATTTTGTTTGAAAAGAAGCAAACTGAAAAAGGGTTTTACCTTACTAAATATATCCATCCTTAAAGACTATCAGTGCAGAGAAAAACATAATTAGCTAATTTTCACAGAGCATGGGTAGTCTAACACTATAAAATTAAACTGGTGTTTTCAAAGTGATTCTTTTCTGTCAAGTTCTTGCCTTGTTTCCCTTGTGTTGATGTGCTTTAATCGTAAATTGTATCTGAACACCCAGCTAAGCCCCTTGGCATGATCTTTTTACTAGTTTTACAGAATCAGCTGTTTAATCTTCAATAATTACATCACCTCCTCCCTTGATAAACATGGACTGGTGTTGTGTGTGGTTTCCTCTGTTTCTGATGGGAGACCAATACAGATTATGAAGTTCTATCTGTAATTCCCTGTTTTCAATCTTGAGATGACTTATCAGAAAAAAACTTGTGAATAAAAAAAAAACTCAAAAAACCTGCAGCTTTATTTCTGTACTCTGTTTAAATATCAGCTGTTAAGCTTTCTAAATAAACACACTGAAGACGAATCAGCTACAGCTTGTGATTTTACTATAAAATGAGTTTCACAGACATAAAATTGACCTAAAACTGGTTGGTGATAAATGCTGTAGATCTGTCTGAGTAGGCAGATCTAGATTAGAAATGTCTTTCCGCCCAAAGACTGAGACTGAAACAAAGGTTAAAGAATGAGGGAAATCTGCAAAATGAAATTGATGAAGAGGTGGACGAAGGTTGCATTTTAGCTGGAAATTGAAGATTTGCCTAAATTTGGTGTCACAGGAGTAGTCTTGATCAATGATTGGCTGATGATAAGGTAATTGATGAGGTGATTGTGTAGCTTAGAGCCTTCCAGTTAGAATTTACACCTAAGCTTCTTAAAGTATAAGCTAACGGCCATTTCCTTTGTTTAGTTTTTTTTTTTGTCTGGCAAAAATGTATGCAATCCAGTTATATATAGGAGATAGACGGTAAATTCATTGGTACTTTATTTTCATTGCTAAAAAAAATAGTCGAAAGTCTGACTCAGTTGAATACATTTTTTTTTCTTAAATGACAAGAAATAATATGACAAAGACAAGAAACAGACCAGCTTTTTCTCTCAAATATGCCGGTATAGTGTTTTTGATTATACAAGAATACTGAAGTAAGACCTACTTAACCAAAACTTTATACAGCATCGATGTCAAGGTTCTGCTTGTGTTTATTTTTTAAGTTTCTTTGTATTCTGTGTATTTGTACCAATCCTGAGTTGTTTAGGTACCCTCTGTTGCCCCTTTTTGTTTTCCTTTTCCCTTGGCTTGTTTTTTTTTTTGGCTTTTCCTTATCCTCCTACCAGCAGGAGGCCCCATTAGTGAGGGGCCAGCTAGTTGCCACACAATTGCACTCAAATCTTGTAGTTTGATAAACACGATTTTTCCCCTGCGCTGCAGTAAACTAATTCCGCATTGCACAAGGTGCAAACAGATTTAGTCTTGTCAAGGTTTCCATTGGGAAGCTTCTTAGAAATATATTTTCTCTCAAGCAAACCTGGCCTCTTCATAGCTGCATCGATATCAGCATGTCACGTTCAATGTGGTAATTTCACAGTACGCCACACAGGTTGGAATACTGATTTGTTCTCACTCCCAGATATACATGTATGCCAGATATACATCAGCGCTAAAATACCAAGGAGAAAGTCATCATAGCTTACTTAGTATAAGCCCAGCTCCCAACCCAACTTTGAGAATACATTAATGAAGATATTTTTTTTGTATCGCCTGATAAGAGTCTGGCGTTAATGAAGCTCGTTAATGGCCCACCACAATCTATTTTTTTTTTTTTTTTTTTTACGGCAATAGTGGCTAATTTTTTTTGACAGTAGGCTGAGAAGAAAGGGGGTATGAGAGAGAGGCAAAGGTCAGATTTCAACCTTGGTCGGCTGCAGACCAGGCAGGACTCTAAGGCCTTTGTACATGGGTTGTGCACCACTAAAGCATGTTCAGCCCACCACTATTTAAAACCTATTTGAAGTAAATATATAATGGCTGGTTACCTGCAAATAAGACTCTGAGAACAACTCTAAGCCCAAAAAAACTAACTTAATTATTTTTAACAGTATTCGGATTAGTTTTATATATTCCATATAATCTACATGCACATTTGTAGATAGACTGGCAGTTAGCCCATTCTTGAATGGCCACAAAAATCTGTTTAGTCAGGGGAAGATAATCTGCTTCATTCACTACACAATTAGGACATAAGAGCTTCTGTATGTTAGTAACCCAGCATAACATGAGTTGGACGTTTATTCCAGAAGGGTTAGACCTAAGGAGAATCCAGGATACAGAACAGAGAATCTGTAAAAGGAAGCATACTAAACCGCCAGAGGTTCCCTGAAGAACAGAGGAATGAGGAACATCAGACCTTTTTATATTTGAGAAAAAGAAATGCTGTTCATTAAAAAAAAACATTGTCGGAAAAGACAGAATACCACTACCAGGTTTAGTTAGGTGTAAATTTAAATTAACATGTACATTATCTTTCAAAACTGCAAAGCATATATTGTCAATTATGTGGCTGCTAGAAGTCAGATTGGCCAGAGGTCTACGGTCAGGTGTGGAGTTCCATCCTCCTAGGCATAATTGTGGGTCTTGCTCTGGTCATTTCCTGTTTTTTGGCTCTCCTTTCGTGCTCTCCTTTGGCTTCTTTCCTATGGCTTTGATGTCTTGTCCACCTGGGGTTGCAGATGCCTGGCATTAGGTGGGGGTCTGGGATGTTGGAGGGTTTGGCCCCGTCCTTGTGGGGGGGTTGGCTAACTGCTGTGGCTATATGGTAGGTGGGATACAATCAATCTGCCCAGATGCATCTCAGCTTGTTGTGTGGGTCTGCCTTACTGCCTTCCCTGACCCTGCATGCATCCTATGCCTGCAGTAAGGTGGGGGGACGCTGGGGGATGTTTAGCACATGGGCTTGGGTGGCTTGCATGCCGTACTTGGCCTAGGGAGGTGGAATATTTGGTTTGGGTTGTCTAGCAGCCATGGGTATGAGAGGACCATATGGATTACTGGCTGTGACAGAAGCAGACATTCAGAAAGAATCGGAGATTTTAAAAAAAGGTAACGGTTAACTAGCTCAACATGTGGCCCCTTCAATGAAGACACAGCCAGGCTGACAAACTCAGAGCGTGTTCCTATGTTAGAGGATGAAAGAGAACACATAGAGATCTACACTGAAAAACAGGCTAAGCTTCAACATCTAAACAGAGATGTTAATGACAGAAGCAGAGCTGATATTTCTCTCCAGGTTGGTGTCAAAGCCACGCGGGGAAAGACCAGATAAAGCTAATATGATGAGAAAAAGCAGAGAGAGCCTAAATCCAAAAGGTTCTTTGAAGTACTTGTTTGGTAATCAGAAATTAAATTAAATCAAAACATTTTTTTTCCTTTTCATTTTTCTGCAGCAATGGAGAAGTCAGAGCAAAACGTTCATGAAGAGAAAAAATAGCTCATGACAAAAGAAAAAAAGTATGTGGCTAAGAAAAAGTTCACCCTTGAGAAGGATTTCAGAAAGAGAATCTAGGATCGGAGAAGTACTAAAAGAAAAAACAGGAAATAGAGAGCAATGTAGTGGGAAAAAAAAAACAGCTTAAAGAAATTGAGACAGATGTTATTTCACTGTTGAGACAGAAATAATTTAACTTGGATAGTTTTCTACTTCATGTACAATAGCAGCCATTAAAAATGGCCTTTCCCAGTCAAACGCCAGTTGAATGGCAACCCATTTCCGGCCACTGAAGTGACCCCCTCCTTCTCTTGTGCTTGCATATTTTTTTACTCTGACTCCACCCTTTTACTGAATTATAGTGTTTGACCAGGGATGACACCTAGATCTTACTGTCCACAAATCATGACAAAAATATTTTAGTACTATCATTGATGTTTAAAAAGAAATTGTAGGGGACCAGCCAAGGGCCCATCAAGGAAAGAGGGGAAATCTTGAATGGCTACCACTGTAGGCAAATTAGCTCGTTAACAGGTTTTAAATAGGTAGACCTTATTTTCATATATATGAATACATATGGATGTCTTTCAATGAAGAACTATTAAATATAGAACTTTTCTAAGGTCAAACATTTTAGATAATTTATCGTATGGTTCAGAAACATTGAAGAAGGAACTAGGGTTGAAAGATAAATGGCTAAAAATATTCTCCTTTTCAGTTTCCAGCCACAGTCTGTTGCCTGAACCTGAAAAAAAAAATTACTAATATCAGGAGGTGTGTTGTTTTTTACTGGCTTTTGATATAACCTTCCATGTACTGAAATGTTATTACTGAAATATTTTAAGTGTAAGATAAGGAAACATGCATCAGGTAGTAAGATTTATAATAATTATGAGCATAGCTGCCTTTTGTTTTTATTTATTAGTAAAATTCTTTTTTTTCCTGATAAGCCCATTACCCATAAAGAAATGTGTAATTGATGTAAGAAGGAGCATATATATTTTTCTGAAACCTTAACAATAACCGTTATAGGTGTTTAGGTCATTAAAATATCCTTGTATTGATCAATGTTGAAGAAGTTATGATGAAAATTATATGACATACAAAATCTGGTGGAAATGTTAAAATTTTTTAATAGAATATATATTATTTCTATATTTTTGGCAACTAATTTTAAAGCATGTTTGATCATATTTTACATCTGTTGATCACGAAGGTTACTTCATTCCAGTCTCACAGACGTTCTCACTTCAATAATCAGACTTCATCCTCTCCTGACAAACATGGGTTGGTGCTTTTAATCGTTCCTTCCACCTATGATGAGAAACGATGACCATCAGTCAGAAGCGAATTCACTTTGGGTTTGTCTCAGTTTTCTATTCGTTTTCTGTTTGCCCTTTGTGGAGTTTCACAGTGACTTACTTTGCCTCGCTTCTTCTGCTTTTATTTTTAAAATACAAAAATCATCTGCGAGGTGAAACTGATGCAGAAGTTGCATCTCATGTGGTGGCTGCAGCAATTTCTGTATATTTGTGTGCTTTATTGAACCTGACTTGCACTTTTGACAAAATAAACATGCATGAGAGAAGCGATGTGGTTTTGTTTTGTGGTTTAAAACTAAGAAGATAAATTTACATCCATCTGTTTCTCAGACTTAGCCTGGGTGCCAGTCAGAACTTAGTCCCGCCCACAAGGTTTGAGTTCGGGGAAGTTCGGTCTGGCTCTGCTCCATAGTAGCACGAGTATTAAAGCCCACTGTCAGGCGATCCAATCAAATTGTCAGGGCGGACTTTATACGATGATGGACAGATGATCAAGAGTAACGTAATCAACCACGTGACCAAAGCGCGCTAGTTTGGGTGAGTAGATTCTGCTATTAGGTCTGTTCTAGAAGATATCGACAGCAAATTAATTTTAAAAGAGGAACAGAGAAACGCGAAACTGCACGCTTTGATTTTTGTGGACAACAACTATGCCTCGCTTAACATACGTCACGCACTCCGTTGCTCTTATTGGTTGTAGGTCTATCCAATTGAGTGCAGAGGCATTTTTTTTTCCTGGTTCGTTCGAAACACGCCCCATAATCACAGCTCTATGGAGCAGTATCAGACTCATATTCTGACTAGAATTGAGTAGGACTACGTCAGGCTATCTCAGACTTGTATCTAAAAACAGTTTAGTTTATTCTGCTAAGGTTTGAATAGGGATGGGAATCGAAAACCAGTTCCTGTTCAGAACCGGTTCCGTATTTTCCGATTCCATGGCATCGTTTGGCAGCTCGCTGAATGATTCTTTTTTCGATTCCCGCAGCACCAGAGCCTAGAGCGCCGGCTCTGGGGAGCACGACTTACGTCACGATTTTTACGTAAGTTACGCAACTTCCGCAAGTTACGCAAGTTACGCAAGTTGGAAGAACTATTCGAGGAGGAAGACAGCGAGCTGCGGTCACTTTGTGAATCAAAGCCCCGTCTTTCCTTAGCCCAGAGGGTAGATCAGGAAATCCAGCTCTATAAAAGCTTGCCCTCCATCCCCTGCAGGGATAGCGCCACACTGTGGTGGTGGAACAAGCAAGATACGCTGCCCTTGCTATCTGGACTGGCTGAAAACTACCTCTGTGTGCAGGCTTCCTCCACCCCATCTGAGAGGGTGTTCTCCACGGCTGGAGACACCTTAAGCCCTGAAAGATCCCGTATCCTTCCAGAAAAAGCAGATATGCTCATCTTTCTGCAAAAGAACTGTTAATTTTCCCTACTACTGTTTTATAATTAGTATTTTTTGTTATTTAAAATAGGTTATTATCCCATCATTTGTTATTAGACATTGTTGGTTATTAAGTTTGTTCTTGTATTCATTTTTCATTTAAACACAGATGTTACTCCAGTTTCACATTTCCTGTGGACATCTTGATCTTGTTGAGTTTGTAAGATTGTGCAATAGTTAAGTAAACAAAGTTGATTCTGATAATCAAACTGTTTGTTCTCCTTTTTCCCCCAAATTGGAATCGAAAAAAGAATCGATAAAGAATCGAATCGTTTCATAGAATCGAAAAGGGAATCGGAATCGTGAAAATCTTTTCAATTCCCAACCCTAGGTTTGAAATTGAATTTAGTCTTTTTACATGATAACAGATAACATAAAATGGTAAAAGTTATCACTGTAGAGTGTTTAGATAAATTGACATAATTTTTAGTTGATGATTTGACTCAAAAACATCCACAAAGAACAAATCTTTCACACAGAGAGTTCTGCATATTACCATAAAAGAAAAAAAAATAATAAAAAAAAGTGTAAGATTTTTCCTTACTTGTTTTGGCTTGCTGAGAATCTTGTGTCCTTTGACCAAAAAAGAAAAAGTTTGATCCTGAAGTTTAACAAGGGAAGAGACCATACAAATATTACTAAATAAAAGCTTTTAAAGTAGATTTCAAATACCCTAATTCGAAGGAAGGTGTATTTTCCATGAAGACAGGAAACAATTCCAGAGACACAACTTCTTTCACAGGAATGATTGAGGGTGATTGAACTATGAGGACCGGAGACGCTGGCTGCCGTTGACAAGCTACAAAATTAAAGATTTTTCCCTGAGGAAGGATGGCGCATCAGATGGCGATGTTTAAATAACTGAGAAGAACAAGTAATAAGGAATGGAGGATTAAGAAATGGGGGATGAAGGGATGAGGGCATGAAGGGATATAGGGTAAATAAAAAATGCCAGTAAAAATCCTGATTTTCTTGCTGTGAGTGTAAGTATAAAGACACTTACGTACCAAGGAGCAATAGTTGACAACATTAACCAGTTTCAGAAATTAAACAGTGACACTCCATACTCCTTTAAGTTAATTAAGCAGCTCCAGTAAAATAACTACAAAACAGAGAGCCAACTACAAGTTACTGTAAACCAACCCAGTGTTTTTTATATGTTTGCTGATATAGCTCTAGAAACTGATTTCCTTGAAGTTTGAAAACAGCTTGAAAAATTATTGGTAATTTTGATTACACATTTCCACTTCATGTCAATATTCTGAAGACATCATGATTAAAAATATATATATATTTATCACATAGTCATACTGAGGTTAGACTGTTAGTCATTGTGATTTTGGTTGATCTACATATGTGCTTTTTTTATGCATGTAAGCTTGTAATCTTTATTTAACCGGGTATATCTTATTGACATACCAAATCCGTTTGACAAGATAAACCTGGGCAAATGTTTGATTTTGTAAGGCAGACAAGACAAGTTATTCAAAAATATACATATTAGGCTTACTTTAACAAATAGTTTGATAACAATAGTGAAGTTAAATAAAGTTTACTGAGAGTTTAATATCTTGTACTTTTTATCAGAATTTAAATCTTTCAAATTAATGGAAAGAGGATCATGATGAAATCTGAATTTAGCACATTGCTCACACAGTGGCATTTATTGAGGCCAACTAACACTGACTGTACAGGGCCCCTATTTTGCCACTACACACCTGGTTGGAAGTCTAACTTAAAGACGTGCTGCCCTTTCTTTAAGAATTCAAATTATTTTTGTCCCTCAATTATGAGGATCTTATCAATACCTTTTATCTTGTAGAGAATTACTCCAATCACCGCAGACAACAAGGCCAGTAACGCAACTTTAACAGCATACTCCAGAACATCAGTTTTAGACTGCTCACATTCCACAGTGTAGCGATCTTCAATTGGTGCTAAGAACACAGATCCAAATATTTCCCTATAAGCATTGTGTGAGCATAAAAATCTTAAAAAAAAAGAAAAATACATTTACTAACCTGTCAGGGGTCTATAAACAGACAGCCAGCTTTCAGGAGATTCTCCAGCTGAAGAGATGCTGCACTTGTACAATCCTTCATCTGCCTTTGTGACATTTTGGATGGTCATGTTGTTGGTATAGCAGGTCATGAGATGCAGACCATTTCTGTAAAAATCTCTTATGTGATTCAACTCAGTTTTCAGTTTAGCTTTCAGTGCAGTTTCTTTATGGATACAAGGAAGGGTCACATCTGATCCTTCCACCACAGGTTGGGTTGGAGTGCCCAGGATCACCAAACCAGCTGAAAAATTTAAATACATGGTCATGTTTTTTTGTTTTGTTTTTTGATGGTTTGGTTGCTTTTTATGTACTCTATAACTGCAGGCACAAGGAGTTAACTTTATATTCTTGGTGATCATTTAATTAATTTGAAAAACAACACCCCATATCAGTAGGGTCTCAATAGCCACTCAGGGATTTGGGATTGAAGTCCTTCAACCGAGCAGTAGGGCCAAGGACACAACAGGTACAATTTTATATTTTGTTTTACTTTTTTTTTTCTTTTACCAACCAAATGTCTACACTAAATTAAGAGCTAAATTAATGAGAGAATTAGACATACCTGTAACAGAAATGTTGACCGCACTGCTCCTTTCTCCAGCATCGTTTTCACACCAATATTCTCCACTGTGTCTTTCCAGGGCAGGTTTAAGTGTGCAGGAAGGTTTCGGTGAGCTGCAGGGATCTGAGGAATTTGTTGGTCTGACTTTGTGGAACTCCTTCATTACTCTCCAAGCCTTAACAGCATTTATCATCTTACATTTTATAGTTATAGACTCATACTCAAAAAACTGAAGTCTCTCTGGAAAAATATGAGGAAAAGCATAATCTAAACAGGAAATAATGAGAAAATTATTAGTTATTGAAAATAATAATTCTAAATATTGAATTTTTACTTTTTTTTATTGTTCTGCAACTTTTTAGTTGAATTGTTGAAAATAGTATGCAATTCAAGTAAATTCATAAAATTTAAAGTTTTACTTTCAATAGCTACACAATACTGTTATTAAAAAAGCTCACCAGCTCTCTGAGCAGTACAGCCATGTTTAGTTTGTACAATCAGCAGGACATACATGTTTACCACTGCAAAGACATTATAAATAAATAAACATCTGATCACTATATGCCGACAGAGACAAAGTAACTGCTTTTTAAAATTTCTACTTACAAATGCCAAAAGATGTAGCCTTCATGTCTGATGCTTAGTAATGACTGTCAAGTGTATCACGCTGTCATCTAAGTAAAATGTTGGTCAACACTTCCTCTTCCTGTCTGGATTATTTTAGGGGCTGGTGAAGGTAGAGGTTGAATTTATATTTCTAGAAAACAGCAAGAGCCCTGCTTTGACAAAAACTGACACGATACCATAAATAACCCCTCAGTCCCTCCAAAGATATTGCCATTAAATGTTAAATGGCCTGTACTTATATCCGGCTTTTTCAAGTTGACTTGACCAAAGTGCATTATACTATAATCAGTCATTCATGCACACGTTCACAAACTGATGGTGGCAAGCCCCATAGTAGCCCCAGGTGCCCTGGGGCTCACTGACAAAAGCGAGGTCTTAACCAAAAGTTTCAAACACATGCACCACCAGCCAAACATCAATAGCGAATGTGGGTTTCTTGCTCGAGAACAAATTTTGATTGCAGATGTTGGGATCAAATGTCGCTGATGTAACCGGAACTACTCCCCTCTGAAGGCACAATCCACCAGCCCAGCTTTTAAAACCAACAACTTCCTGTTCAACTTTCTGTTGCCAGCAGCCCACAGCTGCTTAAAGGAGAAGTTCGGTTTTTTACACTTTAAGCCCATTTTCTGTAGTGTCCAGGATGAAATCGAATGAAGGACACCAAAATTTTGACAATTGGTCCTGTCTCTGCTTTTTGGCTCATTTAGAATCAACCCCTGGCTGCTTTAGAATGGCTAGCATAGAGCATGTCCGATAATGTCCTTAAAACAACCTTAAACGTTCTTTTTTTTAAATATGCTACTCACCGTGTCGTCAGCGCTGTTCAATGACGTTCCATAAAAAGTTTCGTGAAGAAAAAACGTTCCTGTAGTGTTTTATTTAGCATTTTGTAAATCCCATTGAGTTCTGTAGGAATAGTCAATATTCCGCTGCCACCGGAAACGGAAATGGGGCCTGTTTACACAGTTGTAGTCTTTTCGCTTCACTCTGTGTACTCCGACGTCGAGAATCAAGAATCCACCTTTCGTATTCCATTTTCAGAGTTTTGTAAAGTGTTTAACAGAGACGTTAGCACCTCGACGTCGGAGTACGCAGAGTGAAGCGAAAAGACTACAACTGTGTAAACAGGCCCCATTTCCGTTTCCGGTGGCAGCGGAATATTGACTATTCCTACAGAACTCAATGGGATTTACAAAATGCTAAATAAAACACTACAGGAACGTTTTTTCTTCACGAAACTTTTTTTGGAACGTCATTGAACAGCGCTGACGACACGGTGAGTAGCATATTTTTAAAAAAGAACGTTTAAGGTTGTTTTAAGGACATTATCGGACATGCTCTATGCAAGCCATTCTAACGCAGCCAGGGGTTGATTCTAAATGAGCCAAAAAGCAGAGACAGGAGCAATTGTCAAAATTTTGGTGTCCTTCATTCGATTTCATCCTGGACACTACAGAAAATGGGCTTAAAGTGTAAAAAACCGAACTTCTCCTTTAAGGCTAGACTCTAAGCACTTTCAAGCGGAAGGCTGCACTAAAGTAGTAACCAAATCCCTTCAGAGAGGTCTGTGCTTGCTGAACCATGTCAGACTACCCTTCCTACGATTCAGAAGGAGCTGAACATGGTGTTTTTGTTCTTCATTCTGTGATTTAAACGGAATTGAATGCAGTGTTTTCTGAAACCGGCTGCAGCAGAGCAGAGGAGAGATAAACCAGCTCTAGTAACCTAAATTTAACCGCTAGAAGGAGCAACAACGGGGCCCTAATTGTTGTTCCCCCAAAGAGCTTTTAGAAGCTGCCGATCTGTGACTGGTCCTACCTGAGAAGGAAACTTTGAGGAGCCTTGAGGAGCTGCTATATGACTTGACTCTTATTATTGCATCTCATTAAGAGCTGCTGTTGGATGAACAGCAGTTCCGAACAGACTGGTGCGCAATAAGTGCTCTGCCTAGGTGAACTAGATAGTGTTGGGATCTGGAGATTCTCCACCTTCTCCAGCAGAGTGCGCTGTGGATCTCCTGGGCTGGAGCCCTCCAGCACAGCTGACGTTCATCAGCCCATCAGGAGACCTGCCTATATAAGCAGCTGCCAGACCTTCCTTCAACGCTGCAGTGTTGACCAAGTTTGGAAATCTGTCCTTCATGTGAAGCTCTGGAAGAGCTTAGCCTGTTACCTGCCTGCCTGCCCTAGAGAGCCAAACCTGAAGATCTCACTCTGGAATCCACCAGCTGCTCTCTGGGAAAGAGCTTATCACTCAAACCAAGGTCTGACACTAACAGTCAGAAGCTAGACGCTGCAGCTGCTGAGCACTCTGCTGAACCAACAGTTTCTGGACCCAACCTGTTCCCTCTCTCAGAGAAGAAAGCCTGAACCTTGTCAAGGTATTTTCAGAAATATCAGAAAACTCAACAACTCATCAGTAAATCTGGCTAATCAAACTATTCGTCTCTGCAGACGTCTGAGAATCCTGCCCGGACCTGTTTCCAGAATCCAGTTCATGTTTACTTGTACAAACCTTTAAATAAACTCTGTTTGAACTTTTAACCAGTCTCCAGTGGTGTCCTGCATGTGGGTTTATATCCTAAACCAATCATGACAGATAGTTGTGTTTGTGTTTAATTGAAATAGGCTTTCTGATTCAACTGCTGATGATTTTAAGAGCTGTAAATGAAGTATGATGCTCACTGAACAGACTGAACTAGCAGCGTGGGCCTGAAGAAACTGCATGGGGGACATGTTCCCAGCATTTTTTCAAACATCCGTTTTGGTCACCTGCATGTTTTATTTTCCAAAAACAATGTTACTGTACAGTACACAGCTAATCATAAAGTACTACGACCTAGCGAAAAACCGCAGCTCAAGCTGAAGCCCGTTTAAACTGCCCACAATCTCCTGATTGGCCCATCGCTATCACCGCTTTCACTCCTGAGAAGCTCACTTTACAAACATCTAAATTTCGTCCATGCATCATCCATGCATGAGAAGCTGGCCAATAGAGCTAATACTAGATAAGGCTAACAAACTGGCGCCGAAGTGCTGACAACGGTTCCTTTTTAAGTCGTCACTAAACACATAACACCTGTGCTCAGCACCTGCCCGCTCGTCAGCAGCCTCCTCAGGAGAGAGGGGGAGAAAGCCGGGCTTAGCTGGCCAGACATGACCACAGCACCCTGACAATGTTACACATCAGTTCAAACAACAACACTACTGTAGAGTTTGTACTAAGTACATTGGCTGTTCACAATCTCTGGAAGAAATACTCAAATGTGTGTCATTCTCCAGTATTACGACAGTAAAAGCTCGTATACAGGAAGGACATTTCTTTATTCACATGCTAGATATTCTTGAGAATCAGGGTATGCATTATCCACTTTATGTTTTTGTGCTGATGCCAGTACAAAGCATGTATTAAAGGACATATGTGATGGCACCTTATATCAGACCTTGAAAAATAACAATAAAGAGGATTTCCTGTCCCTTACATTCAACTGTTATTGTTTACCAGTTTTTCAGTCCTCCAAAAGCCTCCAAGAGCCCCTAGCAGCACTGGATTTTGTACTACAGCTTGTCAGTTCTGAAAGGCATACTTCCATGGAGGTTTCATCTTTCATTGACCATTACTGATAGAGGGCGTAAGCATTCTGTTGGAGTTGTTGGGATCCAGAGGTTTGTCAACTTTTCTCCACTAAAGGGAGCCTGAGACCTTCTTCCTGAGGGCATGAGTCAACGTCAGTACACCTGTTCTCCATCATCTAATTTGGAGGCATATAAATGGAGAAGGATGCTGACACTTCTCTGCCAGAGTGTTGCCAGTAACGGTACCGGCTTACTTTGAGCTGCTTTAACCTGGATCAGTTCCCTGATTCTGAATCCCCTTGTCTCTGTGTTTTCAGCTACTGTACTCTGATCCTGAATTATCTGGAGATCAACCAACCCTCAAGACAGAACCCTCCCTTCTGAAGTCTTACCTGTCCGCCCTCCGCCGGCGCCTCTGACCTCAGCCCTCAACCTGCCAACCGGCCTGTAGACCCTCAAAGTCCTCCCCCCGGTGCAAAACACCCCGGAACACATATAAATCCCAAACTTCCGCCAAACAGCAAGTTTCCTGGATCCTGACTAAAAATTTCTGTCCTCCCTTAGTTTCCGCCTGAGTTCAGCCAGACGAACCAAGGATTCCGTTTCTCTTTGTTTGAATTAATTGTCAATAAATCTGACTATTGTATTTCCTGTCTCTAGAGTGTTTTCTGCATGTGGGTTAGGAGACTCGACCCCAACATGACAGATTAAATGCTGAGCTAATAAATCATGCACATGACAAATTATTGTACTTATTTGGAGCCTCCCTTAGCCTACGGGTGGGGGGACGGGTTCTGACTGTTGTCTGTGCTTACGGGCCGAACAACAGTTCAGATTACCCACCCTTCTTGGAGTCCTTAGAGGGGGTACTGGAGGGTGCCCCTCTTGGGGACTCCCTTGTTCTGCTGGGAGACTTCAACGCTCACGTGGGCAATGACAGTGAGACCTGGAGGGGCGTGGTTGGGAGGAATGGCTGCCCTAATCTGAACTCGAGTGGTGTTCTGTTGTTGGACTTCTGTGCTCGTCATGGATTGTCCATAACGAACACCATGTTCAAGCATAAGGGTGTCCATATGTGCACATGGCACCAGGACACCCTAGGCCGCAGTTCGATGATCGACTTTATCATTGTTTCATCGGACTTGCGGCCGTATGTCTTGGACACTCGGGTGAAGAGAGGTGCTGAGCTTTCCACTGACCACTACCTGGTGGTGAGTTGGCTCCGGTGGTGGGGGAGGATGCCGGTCAGACCTGGCAGGCCCAAACGTGTTGTGAGGGTCTGCTGGGAACGTCTGGCGGAGTCCCATCTCTGGCAGAACTTCAAACACATCCCGGGGGAGGTGGGGGACATTGATTCTGAGTGGACCATGTTCCATTCCTCCATTGTCGAGGCGGCTTATCTGAGCTGCGGCCGCAAGGAGGAGTTTGGAGAGGCCACGGAGAAAGACTTCCGCACGGCTCCCAATTAATTCTGGTCCGCCATCCGGCGTCTCAGGAGGGGGAAGCGGTACAGCACCAACACTGTTTATAGTGGGGATGGTGTGCTGCTGACCTCGACTCGGGACATTGTGGGTCAGTGGGCGGAATACTTCGAAGACCTCCTCAATCCCACCAACATGTCTTCCATTGAGGAAGCTGGGCCTGGGGACTCTGGACTGGGCTCTCCAATCTCTGTGGGCAAGGTCGCCGAGGTGGTTAAAAAGCTCCTCGGCGGCAGGGCCCCGGGGTTGGATGAGATCCGCCCAGAGTTCCTCAAGGTCCTGGATGTTGTAGGGTTGTGTTGGCTGACGCGACTCTTCAACATTGCATGGACATCGGGGGCAGTCCCCCTGGATTGGCAGACTGGGGTGGTGGTCCCCCTATTCAAAAAGGGGGACCGGAGGGTGTGCTCCAATTACAGGGGAGTCACACTCTTAAGCCTCCCCAGCAAGGTCTATTCGGGGGTGCTGGAGAGGAGGGTCCGTCGGATAGTCGAACCTCGGATTCAGGAAGAGCAGTGTGGTTTCCGTCCTGGTCGTGGAATGCTGGACCAGCTCTTCACCCTCAGCAGGGTCCTGGAGGGTGCATGGGAGTTTGCCCAACCAGTCTACATGTGCTTTGTGGACTTGGAGAAGGTGTTCGACCGTGTCCCTCGGGGGGCCCTGTGGGGGGTTCTCCGGGAGTACGAGGTGCCGGGCCCTTTGATACGGGCTGTCAGGTCCCTGTATGACCGGTGTCAGAGTCTGGTCTGCATTGCCGGCAGTAAGTCGGGTTCGTTTCCGGTGAGAGTTGGACTCCGCCAGGGCTGCCCTTTGTCACCAATTCTGTTCATTACACTCATGGACAGAATTTCTAGGCACAGCCAAGATGTTGAGGGGATCCATTTTGGTGGCCTTAGGATTGCGTCTCTGCTTTTTGCAGATGATGTGGTCCTATTGGCTTCATCAGGTCATGATCTGCAGCTCTCGCTGGATCGGTTCGCAGCTGAGTGTGAAGCGGCCGGGATGGGGATCAGTGCCTCCAAATCCGAGGCCATGGTCTTGAGCTGGAAAAGGGTAGAGTGCCTTCTCTGGGTCAGGGTGGGTGTCCTGCCCCAAGTGGAGGAGTTTAAGTATCTTGGGATCTTGTTTATGAATGAGGGAAGAAGGGAGCGGGAGATCGACAGGCGGATTGGTGCAGCGTCCGCCGTGAAGCGGGCGCTGTACTGGTCCGTCGTGGTGAAGAGAGAGCTGAGTCAAAAAGTGAAGCTCTCGATTTACCGGTCGATCTACGTTCCTACCCTTATCTATGATCATGAACTCTGGGTCATGACCGAAAGAACGAGTTTGCGGATACAAGCGGCCGAAATGGGTTTCCTCCGTAGGGTGGCTGGGCGAGAGGGAAGTCTGGGCCTCCCTTCTTAAGCTGCTGCCCCCGCGACCCGACCCCGGATAAGCGGAGGAAGATGGAAGGATGGATGGATGGATGGATGGATTTGGAGCTGTGTAGTCACTATATGGAAAAGAGGATATTACTACAAGTATTACTAAATGTGAATTGACTGTAAATGATGTTGTCATACCTACAGCAAAACAAAACAAAGAAACAACTTAGTTATGTTTTTGAAGGATGGAAGTATTTTTACAATTACATTTCATTGAGAAAATTGAGCCGTGTTTATATGCCATAGGAAATTATGACTTTGCACATGGCAAAAGTTGGACAGTGGTTCTATGAATTGAACTCAACATAGCTACATGTTAAATGTCCACTTTCCCACATGCTTTCACAAAGCTCCAGTCAGCTGGAAGTCAGCCAGTTAAAGATCTGCAACTGGAATCGCACCAAACAGGAAAAAGAAAGTCGAGAAGATTAAGTTTGTCAAATTAAAATATGGTAACAACAGATGAGAACTACAAATTAGAGCATAATTCCTATATATTCTCCCAAAATAAGACATTTTATTTAAATTATTGGATGAAAACTATTGGTAGTTCAACAAACCAGGAAGCAATTAATTCTCTCTCTATCTCTTAGCAACTACTTTACTATGGAGTTCATTGACATTTGAGGAGGTCCTCTTCCTGGTTGCACTAAGGAGGTAGGGGTGAACCACACCTCTGCCTTTACGGTCGATTTATCTGAGACTTTGCCCTTTGCAGTTTATAAAAAAACGAAGGAGACATGACAGAGCTGAACAGGTAGGCTTATTTTCTCTGATGTAACTTTCTTGCTTTATTTTCCATATTTACAGTTTATATCTATGTATGTATTTCAAAACCCATAATTAAAATCTACAATAATTGTAAATTGATCTAAATCTGTTTTGTTTTACCCTAATTCATTCTTACACCAACAGTATATTATTTTTTGTGCTCCCCACCGCAAGTTAGAACTAAGAAAGCAAAACTTCCGTTCAGTTGCCTGAACTGAACTTTTGAAGCTTAAACAAATCTGATGTTACAGTTCATGGAAAGGCACTTGCTGAACTGTTTAAAATTTTAAATGATCAAATTATCCCTTTAAGATTTATTTGTTTTTTCATGTATTTAGTTAGGTTAGCTGTTTTGTTCAGGAAAACTTTTATCCCTTCTGTTTATCATTTTTATTATTTCTGATTTTATGTGATTTTATTTGTGCTAAGTTTCTGTTGTCTTTCTCTATTTGATTGTTATGTTGTTCTTGCTTCTTTTACGTATTGCTTTTATGTATGTTTCAGTTTAATGTGAGATGGACTTTACATTAAGGTGACTTGATTAATCATAGTAGGAAGTAAACCTGCCTTGTTAGTACTGTTAGTACTGTACAAAATATATTGCTAATAAACAAGCTTTTTTTCCACTTTACATGTTAACTAAATAAACAGTATTATGTTCAAGAAATGTTTTTGACTCCTATCTTTAAATACACAATATAAACATTTTACTTCTCTGCCTTTTTTTTTTCTTTACTGTTCTCACAGATTTTTGTCTTCAAGATGGTCCATATGCTGCAAAGATTATCTTTGAAACTTTTGTTTAAAGAGGTTGTAATCGCTGAATTCATGTTTGGCTTCTTTCTTTTGACCCACCCAAGCGAAGGTAACTTTTAAACAGAAATACAACAGAAAGACTACCTTATTACAAAAATAAATATTAGTAATTATTAGCTACCAAATGGACAATGGATAAAATGTATTAATGGCCATTCAATTAGACATGTATTGTTGAAATCTCTTTCAACTGTGACAAAGAAATATATTTTTTCATAAAAATAAAACATGTTTTAATTTCCAGGTTGGTCGCTGCAGAAAAGTCAGCCTCAGCTGGTTACAGCCATGGTTGGTGAGGATGTTGTGTTGCCGTGTCACCTGGAGGCTCCCCTGAACACTGATGAGTTAGCAGTGGAGTGGGGGAGACTTGACCTAAATCCCAGATTTGTGCATCTGTGGTTCGACGGGAGTGAATATAAAGATGACCAAAACATCGCCTACAAAGGAAGAACATCGCTGTTTACGGAGAGACTGAAAGATGGAGACGTTTCACTGAGACTGAGTGGTGTGAAACACTCTGACAATGGTAGATTCAGATGCTACGATCCGAAAGAGATTGAAGAATATTTTGTTGACCTTTTTATTGGTAAGTAAATGCAATATATAACAGAAACCTCATAAAACTATTGTCTTTTAGCACAGCTTGATCAGCAATCTATCATCTCATATAAATTTGTAATCAGAGTACTGCTGGTTGTCAATGTGGTAAAGCAACCCAGTCCTGGTTTACAAAGAATAGACAAAGGTCTTCTTAAATGATCATAGGCCTAAATATATATATAAAAAAATATATATATTAACAATAACCTTTTCCCGATTTTTAAAAAATTGAGACATCCTGGTTGATATTATAAATCATTTTCAGAGTTGCCTAAGTTGTTTAAATGCAGCCAAGGTTTGTTTTCATCAAGTGGTCAGTCTGATATGTAGCTTATGTAGGCTGACCAGATGTGGGTTTCTGAAAAGGAAGAAATGTTTTTTGTTTATGTTTTGTTTGTTTTTTTTTTGGGGGGGGGGTGTTAGTGATGGCTGCTGGGCCGCTGACTGGACCGGACCTCATTAAAGAACCATGAGCCACCTGTCTTTAGTCGGAGGAGGAGGGCTGGGGCATGGTAAGGCAGGCGGGGGGAAGCATGGGGCCACACGTGTCCAGGCTACCATTACAGGGTCAGGTTCAACTGGGAGACCAGTCCAGAGCTGATGGCTCTATTCGAGTGCCTGCTGTGTTTCATCTACGTGCTGCACTGTAGTTGACCAAAATCCTGGACGATTTTGAAATCCCCCCCGGACATTTTTTTAGGTCTAAAAAGTAGGACATGTCCAGGAAAAAGAGGATGTCTGGTCCCCCCACTTTCATGGTTTGAACTCTAGGTTAAGTAATGGATGGATGAACTAGAATGGGTTTTGCACAAACCTTTACCAATACCAGCATTTAATACAGCTCATGTATGCCTTTAATAGACATTTTTAGATATTTTGAGCAAATTCTAACAAAGCAGGACTTTTCCTGTGAAGGAAACAATTCCATTGTCTGAGCAGGATTTTACTATTCTTGCACTCCAAATATTTGTATTCCAAAAATATATAAATATACAAATAATATATAAAATATTCTCTCGAATTTATCCTCATCTCCATCAAATGTTTCTGCACTCAGATTTAATGCTTCATGTATGGATATTTTCTCCTGAAGCGCTTCGCGAGCCATTCAAAACACAGGCTGACAAGATCAGTGACTGTCTTACTGGTTGCACTAAGGAGGTAGATCAGTGACTGTCCTTACTCATTGAGAGGTTTTACTCCATATCAGCTCTGTTGTTAGTCGTGTGAATTTCTTTTTATTTATTTTGTATTTAGAGCCTGTTTAAATCATATTCAGTAAACTCATATGTAACATTTATCAATGTTAATGTTTTGTTTACATGAACAAAGACAAGTATAGCAACGTAAACATCATTCTTTACTGCCATGCTCTGCTAACATTTAAGACAATGCTAGTCCAAGCAGCTATCTTCCTTCAAAGTATTTCGGCTTCCTGTGTCACCGTTGCTCTTTGAAATGTTGCCTATTGTCGTCAATGGAATTGTCCGAACTCTCTTACCTAGATGCCCATGGCCTTTCCTACTTGCAAACTCTTATTTGCTTTCTCCGATTGGAGCGTTATTATTTCCAGGCAACCATTCTATTCAATAAAATGAATAGCATGTTTCAGTAGCTTATTTCCTTGTGTCAATTTGTAACTACTATAGCCCTACCTCAAAGTGTAAATGAAACAGTAAGCCAAATTAGCCTGAATTACAAGAATGTCTCTTGCTATTATCAGTAATTATATAACTAAAGTAAAAAATATAAACATATAAAACAAAAAACAAAACATAGTCTATATCATTTTTGGCAAGGGCGCCGCCATCTTATAGTGGTGACCTCAGGGTAATTGGTTCGGTAGTTAGCAGCTGAATACATTAGTAATACCAGCTTTACCTCACAACCGTAAAACATTCAAGACATTGGGTGTGATGGAAGATGAAGCTGAAAGGACATTAAAGCATCTAAATCTCATTGCTTATTCTTTTGAGCCCATTCAGCGCGTGACTCAAGCCATAATAAGAAGAGAAGAGGCAGATTTAGAGCCAGTGTTCTGACTATCTGTGCTACCCCACGATACCTTGTGGCAATGTGCATGTGCAGACTGAAAGCACATCACAGGTGACTAGTAGTTACCTATATCTGAATGCGCTATGGTAGGCAAATCTGAAATCAGTGTTTCAGGATAAATGGGCTGACAATGCTACCTGTAGGTGCTGTTCACCAAAACCCATGTTGGTGGACTCCCTGTACATTACCATTCTTCGCACATTTAGTTTGCTGTGCTGAGTGGTGGATGTTTTGGAGACGAGTACAAAAACAGATATTTGATGGATATTTGATGGAGATGGTTACATTAATAAATAATTGTGAAATAAATACTTAAATTGAATAAAAAATGCTGCCTGTGATATTTTAAAATAACTGATTGCAAGTCAAATTCCCAGCTCATGATTTAAAAAAAAGCCTGGATAACCTCTTATAAGTCTCTGGTTTCAACCCTGCATCTTCGCAAGCCATGTCTGTCCCACACTACTGGATCCTCTTATCTCCCCTAGGTGGTTCTCGGCCTCTTCAGCAGTAAACTCACATTAAAAAACTGCAGTGCATCTACAGTATTCTCCTGGTTATTTCCCCTGGTGCTTCCCCATTGGCCCACCTTATTCATCCTTTATTCTTTCTGTTCAATAAATATTATTTTAAGGTTGCTGTGTCCCCTGGTAATACTTCCTACATGTGATTCAAAACACCTGGGTTACTAGAGCAGGTTAACAATGCTTAAGGCAGTGGGGAAAAAAGACTAACCCAAAGTTAGTTATTGTAATGTGAAAAAGCAGGCAGCCAGGTACCAGAAGGATTAGACGAAGTTTGGTATCAGCCTGTAGGGATGTAGGTCCAATCCACTGACGATGATTGGCAAACTAATTATTTTTGTTAAAAAAGGTAATAATGAAATAATAATAATCTGTAGTTCTCCCCTGGCTAACTATTTGACAGACCTGACGTGGGTTGCAGGCTGTGCATATTTAGCCAGCCTTTTTGAAAAACTAAACAGCTCAAACTTTTCTCTATAAGCCCAAACACAAATGTTTATTCCTTCTGATAAGGTCACAGCATTTAAGAGAAAGCTGAAGTAGTTGTAGAAGTAAGCTGTGTGAGTGGATGGGGAAGGGTTGAAATGTTCCTAGAGCTGGAGGACTTTTTGTGGAGTTACGAAATAAATATTCAAACTATGAAACGTATGAGGGTAAATGACTGAATATAATGTAAAGCCCTTTGGTCAAGTCAGACCATTTACCATTTTAAATTTTAGCACATACTGATATCGTTTTATTTTAAATAATTAAAAGTTTGCTGTATCTGTTTACATTTTAACAGCAAAATGATGTGAATGTTGTGAACAATATCAGTCTGTTTGGAAAGTTAGCCTCTTGATGCTGCTTCATATTTTTCAAAATAAGTCCCAGTGTTTTTCAGAATAAAATGATACAGGAACTAATAGATGTAGTGAGTTAAAGCTTGTCTGATTATGTAAACGCAACAAATATTTACATTGACCAGGCATTGGGGGTGGGGTGGGGTCATGGATAGCAGTGCATGTTAATATTCGGGTTCACGACTCAAACAGGTTGAGAACCACTGACCCAGAGCACACTTGGCACACACATTTTCCAGACATAAAAATCTTTCATTTTTTATTATTTTCTTTATTGGATCTTATCTGATCACACTGCAGTGGACTTAAGAACTTTGTTCTGATTCATGCAAGAGATACAATTTCTGGGTTGCCAGCTTTAACCATCATGTGTCCTTTTATTCTATTTCCTGAGAAATGATGGATATTTATTTTATGCCAAATAAAGAAAACACCAACATAACATTTTTAACAACTCAAAATGAAGTTTTTAGAACCAGTAGTCAACGGATGGTGGTGCTGATTATCATTGAACAGCTGTTCTTATGTCTACATCTTGCTAGATGTTTAAGAACAAAAAAATATCCACTGGACTTGGTTTCCAAGATTTGAAATTCAAATCTTGGAAACCAAGTCTAGTAGATATTTTTTGAATTTTTACGGAAAAATTACTTATTAAGTTGCATGTCTGTATGAGGTGCTGTTTAAATTATGAGCATATTCAAATTTAAACTTTACATCAGGGTAGAAAATAAAACATGATAGTTGTCACTTTTTAAATGAAAAATCTCGACAGAGTCTTCATCCCTGTTCCCTGTATTCCAGGTTCAGTCTCCTCACCCAGTATCAGTTTAGCAGGACTGGACAACAGCAGCCTTGGAGTGATGTTAGACTGCAGCTCTGCGGGCTGGTATCCAGAGCCTGAGATTATATGGCTGGACGGGGAAGGAAAGATCATGTTTGCTGGAGCTACAGAGAAAACCAAAGGTCTTGACGGTCTCTACACTATCAGCAGCAGAGTGACTGTGGAAAAGAGACACAACAACAACATCACTTGCAAAGTCCAACAGAAAGACATCAACCAGACCAGAGAGAAACACATTTATATTCAAGGTAAACATACAATATATGACTGCATGTCATAAAAACATGCAGTCATTTTTCATTAAAGTTTTCTTCCTATCTGGTTTTCAGATTATGCCTTTGGAGTCCGGTTTCCTTGCATTATGCCTCTTCCTCTCTCTTTAAATGCAGTTTTGGGTCTCAGTCTTTTTCTGCTATTTATTATTTTCATCCGGAAATGGCGACAAACTAAAATCTGTAAGTTCAATTGATTTTAAATATTTTGTAATATTAGCAGGAGTTTAATAAGTTTATTCTTTTTTTGTTCCTGCAGCATTGAATATGCTACAAGACGAACTGAATGAACAAAAACAGCAGCTTATGACAGAAGACAAAGAGTATGTAGCTCAGAAAATGTCAGACCTAGAAGAGGACTTAAGAAAAATATACCATGATCAGAGAATCGTTGATCAGCAGATTAAGGCATTAATGATGATGTCAGAGGAACTGAAGCAGCTGAAAGAACAAGTGACTGATCAGAGACAGGATGCAGCGAAAATAGTTGAGGAGAATGAAATAAAGCTCAAGGCTATTCATAATGAAGTATTTAACCAGAGAGAGAACAAGACAAAAAAGATGGCACAAGGTTACTTTAAACTGAAAGAGATCATATCAGAGAGCAATGACAGACTGCATGGGAGAAGGAACGATCATCAACATGTGGAACTGATGATAGAGAAACTGATAGAGAAAACAAGTCAGGAGGTTAAAAAGCTAAAGGAGAGAAAACAGGAAATAGAGAATCATGTATTGGAAATAGAAAAACATCTTAAAGAAATTGAGACATGTTTGTGGTTTCCCTGCTGAGACAGAAATTAATTAACTTGGACAGTTTTCTACATCACGTGAGAAAATTAACCAGGCCTGAATGTTTATTCTGCACAATGGATTGTGCATGTATGAAGACATACATTTGTATTTAAATGGATATGATAAAAATGACGATAAAGCATTGAACATTAAAAATGTATTGTTTGAAAAAATGGAAAACATTTTTCTCCAGAAAATTAAGAAGTTGTATAATTTATAAATAAATACCTTTTCTAATTCAGCAACATGCTTCAACTTTTTTTGTGTGTGGAAATCCCTTTAAACAACAACAATATATATCTGAATACTAGGCTGCAATATACAAGGGTCCATGGTGAGTATTCCATACAGGTGGTTTATCAAACTCTGAGTCCAGCACAGCTGATATCACTCTTTTTCTTTACCAAGAATTAAGCAAGCACACAAGTGCTGTTAAAAAAAAAACATTAAATTATTGGTCATGTTGTTTCTCTGAAAACAAAACTCCCCAAATGAACAAACCTTTAAATGCAGGTTGGCATGAAATAATCATTTATCTGTTTTTACATTTGAAGTATGAATCCTAGATTAAAGAGTGGTGTCCAAAAAGATATTTAATTGTATGCTATAAATCTTAGCACTCTGATAGAGAAGACATAGTTACAAAATTTTCAAGCTTCTAAGGTAAGTAACATATTTAAACCTTAGCAGAAAATAGCTTTTCACACTGTTTAAAAACTCTATTTATTCATCACACCCAAAAGTTTGCATTTTTATTAAACATTTAGTTTACTAGAGGAGAAGCATGAAACTGTTCTGCCACAGAAAGCAACCCAACTTTATTCCCATTCCTGAGCTATTTACATTATTTTACAAATACATTTTACAGTGTCATTGTTTAACAGAACAGGATTTAGAGCATCAAAGTAGGAATCCTTCAACCTCTAAAACCACCAATATATTTTTAAGTGAGCACAAACAGCTGTTATGTCTGGCTTAAAAGTATAATTGATTTAAATGAAACTGTGGGTTTCTCAGAGAAAACCTGCCACTGAACAGATCATCTCCATTCTGTCCATCTCTTCTGGGATCACACAAGAATCACACAATTACTATTGACTTCTGAGTGTCCTTTGCATAGATTTTGGAATATTATGCTACAACACTATGTTTTTTTTCTTTTTTAAATCAATGACACAATGGATGGTGATAATGGCAGCTGTTAATCCAGATGTTTTCTACAAAGACCAGTCTATCTGCTATGTCAAGTTTAAGAGGATTTAAACCCATGGGGGAAATCTCGATTGGTTATCATAAAACTATCCATGCATCCATTTTCCGTAACACTTATCCCTAGCAGGGTCGCGAGAGGTGCTGGTGCCTATCTCCATCGATCTACGGGCGAGAGGCGGAGTACATACATCATAAAAATTAAACAGTAACAAAATAAAAATATCGAGTGTTTTTTATGTTTACACACATTAACACATGCACCATGTATTTTGCTTTTCACAGAACACAGCCAATTATAATGACTGTTACACTGCATGAAAAGTGGGATTTTCGTCAATATGCGGCACTGTAGATTGTCGTGGAACTTCAGGTTAGCGGCAGTT